GGCGGGTGCGGGTGGGCCCCCCGGCTACCGCACAGCCCTGGGGTCAGTGCAGGCTGGCTCAGCCCCTTGCTTCAGCAGCCGTTCGGAAATCAGGGTACCAAAGGTGCTGAGCCGTGGGGTGTCTACCTGGCTGCGCGCCCGGCTCCAGGAGGCATATCATTCCTGTGGGAAAGGGTCGATGCTCTTATTTCCTCCGTGATGCTGCAGTGTAAGTATGTAGCCTTTTCCCCCAAAGCGGAGACTCCAGCAAAGCTGGTCTTGCCTGTTTTCAGTGCATGTTTCATTTTCTGCTCTTCTAAGGCCCACATTATGCACCTCTTTGGTAGGCAGTTGAAATCTCTGGGCAGCTTACAGTGAGTTCAGAGTTATTTTTTTCCTTCTGTATGTATGAGAGGATCGTGCAGGCTTCCTCAAAGATGGGTGGAAGGAAAAAAAGGAAACACATTTGTGAACGTTCACCTTTCAGCAGATTGTCTGAAGTCAGTGGTACATTTAGAAAGGTCACTGTCCCAAGTGATGGTTTTTTTGCATCAGTCGTTTACAGTCTGAGCTATGCCTCTCTTCAACTGTTTAGATGTGATAAGACATTGATTTAGCCTACTTGATTCTACACATATGATTTAAAAGAAGAGGTGTTTTGGTGAAGATTTGGCTTTATGTGTCCTCGTTCACCAACTAGTCTGTGCCAGAATTGTGCTTCCATTGAACTGTTGTCTTGCAGATCAGTTAGTCCATCCATACAAGATCTTCCAGGAGTTACTACCCCTGTGTTTGTGTTCATGGACCTGCTTATCTGATGGGCCAAGGATGCTGAGTTCAGTTAGCGTCCATTGCTCCATTAGAGGTACCCAGAAAACAGGCAGAACTTGCTGTAGCAGGTAGAGGTGGTACATTGCCCTTCTCTTGAAAACAAACAAGGCTGAGCTGAGGATGGTTACCGATACTGGCTCTGTGGACAAAACTTCTCTTGAGTTCAGCAGAGATAGGCCCATAAGCACAAAGGGCTGGTTCAATGTGTCATCTGATGTACTGGAATATACTGTGATGGGTGGGGGAAAATAGAATTTGATAGTGAAGTCACCCAGCCCAAGCAACATGGGAAAATTATTCTTACAAGAGTAACAAGAAAAAAAAAAAGAGCTGAGAAAAAGCACCTGGGACTCATGAATATGCATCTATATATATTATTTGGGTATGTCAGACCTCTTCTTGAAAGTGTTCACTGAAAGTAAGCAGAAGCAGCCGTCTCTATTTTGACTGTAAACACTTTACAACAGGTAATTTTCAAAGGGTTTCACCAGCATGTAGAACAGTGCAGTGCTAATCCATTTAACTTTGGCCATTAAGTAACGGCAATTACAATTCCCCTCTACACTTCCCTCTGGGCACATTCAAAACCAACTGGAGATAAAAATATCTTTGTGGAGCTCTTGCTTTTCTGACAACCTTACCATTCCTCTTGGCATGTTTCAGCTCCTCACCAAAGATGTGAAGCAGCGGCTGGGATGTCAAGGGGAAGGTGCAACAGAAGTGAAGAGGCACCCCTTTTTCAAGAGCATGAATTTTAAGCGGTTAGAAGCATGAATGCTGGATCCCCCCTTTGTCCCTGATGTAAGTACAGCAGGAAGAACCACCAGTGGCCTCTTCCAAGAGATTTGTTTCTAAAATAACTTCTTTCTCTTAGAGCTGTCATCACTCCCTGCATGGGTAGCTGCCGTGGGAAGATGTGATAAGCGGTAGGGCTGGAGTGGGGAGGCTGGGAGGAAGAGGAGAGCTGCTCTGTAGACATGTGCGTGCAGGGTGGGTGGGCCTCCATGTAGAGTGGTAACCTGGGCCTTGATTCATTCCCACTCACTTTACCACAGTTGTCGTGTGACACTGGAGGCACCACTTGACGCCTCAGTTCTCAAACTTTAAACCGGGAACCTTTGTGTTCCCTTATCCATGGTAGTAGTGTGAGAATAAGTGTGCTCAGGACCAGGTGGTGCTTGGAACAATCTGCAATGAAAGCCACAAGCGATGAAAGCATATAGATATATACGCTGAGGGGAAACCAGAATTACAAAGTCCAAAGCTCTATGGAACTGAGGAATGGGTGGATCATCATGAAAACAGGCGTTTGTTACAGAGGGTCTGAACCAGGTTCAGTTATCAAGTGTCACCTCAAGCAGAGGAGGTGACTTGGACCTGAGGGAGCATTTTGAACTTGTTAGTGTTGATGAGGCGCAGAACCCAGCCCTGAGTCCTTACTCAGGTTTACACACCAGTCTTGCACACAGTGAAAGTCTTTGTTGCATTGGCAAGGACAAAACTTTTTCCACCCTTTTGTGGTCTTGGTCTCTACCCCAGTGCACAGAGTTATCTGATTATTTTCCTCCTGCAGGGCTCTCTTTCTGGCTAGGCCTTCTATCCTTAAAGTTCCCATATGGTTCTAAGTAAACACTGCCATTTTAACATATTAAGGAAAGTAACATCTTGGCAGCTCTCATTCACATTGCTGCAAACTCGACCAAACCAAAGTGGTCTGAACGCTACAAAAGTTTACTTTAGCTGCTCTGGTTTTGCTTTGCATTTTACTATGCGGCCTAGTTATTCCTGCCAATTAGCCCATGGTGTTACGACCTGCTTTAGTGGGAAGAAATAGAAGACAAGCTACTATTTCTTTCTGATGTAGAAAATTAGAAAATTCTGGGCTCAAATTTGGGATCCGCCAGAGTGTATTAAAAGCTTAACTGTGGCATGTAAGGCCTAGAAGGCACCTCTTACAGACATATTTGCTAAAGCAGAGGCACATAAATTTTTATGGCTATTTATTGGGAACTCAAGAGCTGCCCCTAATTTAATTTATTTGGCATTTCATCCATAGATTTCCAAGTCTTTACTGAAGTCAGCTGAATCACCCAAAGCTATATTGCTAATGGCAGGGGTTGTAATGCATCCCATGTCTTTCCATCCTCTTCTAGACTACTCTGTCTCCACAAAAATCTTGTGCATTACAGCCGTCAAGAACACAGAGGGATGCAGCCTCCAGCAACTAGGACTTTCGTCAGGAATCAGCTTCATTTGTTTGGTCACGCTGCTCGGATCTAGATAAAATACTGCACGGTTGGAGCCCTGGGCTGTGCAGTCGTGGTACCAATAGGATGGTAGACAGTAGGATGCAACACATGCATGAGTTCGGCAGGTCAGGCTAGTGCCACAAGCCACCCCTCGATTATTGCTGCGCATCACAGGGTAACTGTGTGGTTGACGGGAGCTCTCCGGGCACGCAGATGACCGCACTATGACAGGTAGCCAGTGATGACTATTTCTGCCCTCTGCGGCTGACTGCTGGAATATGAGCTAAAAGCAGCGTCACTGCAAAGAGTCCCGTCTCTGTCATCCCAGAAAATTAAGTAGTTTAAAAAGGCAAAGACGTTTGACTACTTGTTTGAAGGAAGGCAGCCAAGTTAAAAGAGTTAATAGAGGTGATTCTGGACAGCTTCCAGCAGCTGAGCTATTAATAAAAACAATGGAAAAATGCCAAACCTCTTCTGTTTTCTTTAGTAATTAGTATACATTCCTTTAAACTTTAAAGCTGCAAATTCTGCAGCTATCTGAGCAGAAGGACACTTCTGCCTGAGGTCCCTTTTCAGGGCTGTCTCCAGTGTGTCACTCATAAACATTCCATTTTTCTGTTGTTCCCTCTCTAAAAGACTACTGAAGGATTTGATTTTTGTTTTCTTGTTCTTTCTGTCCTTTTCCCCTCACCTCTTAACCATATGGTACATGGATGACTAAAACCCACTTTAGCTGTGCTGATGCTTTAAGGACTTCAAAGTGGGAAGCTTAACATGCTTAGAGCGAAGTCAGCCTTTGATGATAAACATGCGGGCAGAGCAAGTCTTGAGAAGCAGAATGCAGATAGTCACTTGTTGTTAGGCATTCTCACTTGACTGAATCTGTGAATGAAAGCACATGGTCAGACTCAGAAGTATTTTTTCTCTTGCTGTTTTTCTTTTTTTTCTTTCTTTTTTTTTTTTCTGCTGAGATAGCCCAGAGCAGTGTACTGCAAGGACGTGTTAGACATCGAGCAATTCTCCACAGTGAAAGGAGTTAACCTGGACCAAACAGACGATGATTTCTATTCCAAGTTTTCCACAGGATCAGTGTCTATTCCATGGCAAAATGAGGTAAGGATGTATCATAGTAAAATTACTCCAATAAAACCCCTAACACAGGTGGTTTAAGAGGACTGGTATATTTCCAGTAATATATAGCTACTGGATAACTTGCCAGACTCTAATGCTTTCATAAGTTACAAATGGCCTCTTTCAAGATCTATAATGTACCACAGATCTCAGGTTCAGGTGACTGTATCTGTTGGCTCTGCATATTTGTGTAAATTGGCAAGGATCCTACTGTACATCCTTCTCCTGGATTTCTATAGAGGCGTTTTGACAACAGCTCTGAGGAACTTCGGTGGGATGGCTGGAAGTCCTAATGAGAGGCTCCTTCCTTGGTGATCCTGATCTCACCCATTGTCTTGTACCTCCAGTGGGTCCCAGCTGCAGCAGCTCACTCTGGACCTTGATCTGCTCCTGGGTTTCCAGATCTTGGTCTTTGTTTCTGTTTGATATCAAAACAGAGCCAACAGTGGATTTCATAATCCAACTCTGGATCAAACAGCAGATCCACTTGGGCAGAGGAGTGATACTAACTGGGATTTTGCGAGTATGTCTGTCTTTACCCAATATTCTCCACAGTGCTAAAGAAAAGAACAGAAAGCTTTATGTGCAACTTCTAAGATGACTGATATGCAAACATGCAGAGCAGACTCAGCCTCTCTTTTTCATACTTGCTATTTATCTTCTATAAAAAAAAAAGCAGGAATTCAGCTGTTAACTCTCCAAACACATAGCTCGAGCTGCTGGTCCTGATCCTGACTTTGAACAACCTAGCAGTGCTGGAATATATTTAATGCAGATGTGTAATTTCTTTCTTTTTTTTTTTTTCTTCTTACGGTATTCCACTAGATGATAGAAACAGAGTGTTTCAAAGAACTGAATGTATTTGGACCAAATGGTACTATTTCACCAGACCTAAACAAAAGCTACCCCCCAGAGCCACCCAAGAAAGGATTGCTACAGAGAATATTTAAACGACAGGTGAGATCTTTTATGACTAAGACAAGGAACCTCCCATAGATGCCCAGTGTCACAGCCATGTTCTGGTGATATTTTTGTGGGAGAAGGACAGTACTTCTCAGAGAGGGCTTGCTGTCACAGCTACTTGGTAATTTCTCAACTAATACTGCCTATCCCAGGTTTCCCATCTACTTGTGATTTTTTTTACCACCAGGAATTCCAGCATTTTTCATCAGCTTTGCTTCCAGCGGTTGAAAACTTCTTACCCAAACTTTCTTTCAGCGATATGCTGAAATGCCTTTTGAAATGCTTATATGGTTTTGATAAGTTCCTTGTGAAAACCTTTGTTTTATGTGTTAAAAAAAAGAAAGAAAATGCAATTGTTGAGTGAGGTAGACATGGCAGGAAACCAAGACACTAGAGAAGAGAGCAGACCAGAGAATAAGTGATATACAGCTTTCCTGGGGCACCATGGCACCACTTGCAAATCTAAATAACATTCTTAGACCGATCTATTTCTTTAGGGTTAAAACCATGCCTAAGCGTTGGCATGTATCCTCTCTATTAGCCAGATTTAGCAGATACTGACATTTTGCAGTGAATTGATATGAGTCCTGGAGCTTGAGTGAGACTTCTTTGCTGCATTCCTCAAGAACTGCCATGGTCCTCCAGACCTAGAGAGAATGCAGGTAAGAAAGTGAAGAATATTTTACATCCAAAGATTTTCAAACAAAAATCTTGCAGTGCAGTCAGTACGTTATCACCATAAAATGAACAATGTTGGATTAAAAGAAAGCATGGCATATTTGGGGAATCTAATTGTCTTTGTCTTCCTCTTTCTACAGCATCAGAACAATTCAAAAAGTTCTCCAAATTCAAAGGCCAGTTTAAATCACCACATAAATTCAAATCACGTAAGTTCAAACTCCACTGGAAGCAGCTAGTTCCAGCTCAGTTTTACGAAACAACATGTTGCATCCTTCCACTATAATCTACGGAGCTTCTATGGATGAGAGAGCCTCCACCATTGAGTGAAAAAAAAAAAAAAAAAAAAAGGATCTCTGAAAAATGGAGATTTTCTATCCATTCCTTCCAGTGGAGCCTCACATTTTAAGAAGAAATTTCCACTCAGGTCTGTTTTTGGAGGTGGCACTCAAGACTGTGTGAATCAAACTTGTCTATTTAGAACATTGCAATAGAAATTCAATGAACATGACTACTTGCACGTATTTAAATAGCATCATACTAGAACTGAATTTTGTCTTTATTATTTTTAAAGAAAAGTTTTGTAAATTTCTCTATTGTCTCAGTTTACATTTTGTACATTTGTATTTAAATGAAAGTCAGACTTTGGAGGTGTATATTTTCCAAGCAGCAGCTGTAAAGCCATGTGTTTTAAGACATTTTTTTAAAAGAAAAAAAAATGTGACTCAAGACTTCCAGAGCCTCAAACGAGAAATCATTCTTTTTAGTAATTCTAGAAAATTATTCATAAATCACTTTATCAGACTGGGTTTTATTGACATGCATTTTTATGGAGCAGTTGTTTATTCTTAATTATTTTACATCTGTATATTTGGTTTACAGCAACACTGCATACGTTTCTCCTCTTCATTAGTTTGTAATGTCTCGCATTAAATGCTAAAAGACAAGATGCATTCAAGAATGCTACTTGCTACGCCTAAGGTTTGTGGTGTCATGGGACCAGCACAGCTGAGATTTGCACTTACTTACATTGTTAGCTCATCAAAAACTTTCTGGTTAGAAAGGGAACCCTACTTTAAGCCCTTCTCCTTCACTAGTTTTTGTGCCGTTTCTAATGGCAGCAAGAACAAAACTGAGAGGTGACCAGGAAAGCAAACGAGCATTTGTTTTCCAAGGACTTGAAACCTGCACCTGCTGAAATGAGAGCAAAACTCAGTGTGTTCTCCATGCTGCAGTCAAAAGTCCAAGGCCTTTCTGTAGTTGCTCATATCAAACAGGTAGCAAGAGAGAAATTTGGTAGTCGGGTTTGTGCTGACCATGAGATTCACATCAGCTTTCTAGAGCTGAGCTGTGGAGCTTCAGAGTGGGATCTGAGCTGCTTTTGAGCCGTAGCAGAACCTGTAGGTTGTGACTGCACGTAGACTTCTTCCATGTGTCATGCCAAACACACCATGATTCGTCCCCTCAGTTAGGTCCTCAACTTAATTGAATAAAATCTCAGTTATGAAATAATAACTCCCACTTTTGATTCCATCGTTCTTTGTCCAGGATCCTTTAACCATTGACAAAAATGTGTTCCCTCTAGTATAAACAGAATTGGTCAGGATCAGTAGCGGTACCTCAGGCATCAGAACCATGCTCTTCTCAAATATGCCACTATTATTATTAAGAACACCAGACCTGACATATGGTGACTTCCTTTCAACAGGAATTAGAAAACCTTTGTCCCCGCAAGTGCAGACAGGATCTCCATAGCCCAATGTGTTCTGTAAAACAGGCTGGTTCACCATGCTCTTTATATTGTTGTCTAGAGAAGACTGATGATTCGACACTTTTGGGTCACCAGGAACATCTGAAGGTCAGCCCAGTGTGTATAAAACCCTGTTAGCTAGTAGTGTGGTTATCCCTGGGTACAAGGAAGCACTGTTCCATGGGAAGTTTTCACGGCCAAAATTCATTAGACTATCATGTATGTGTTCTCTCTGGCCAATGCAGAAGGGAAAAAAGATGCAGGTTAGTAGTGACAAAGCTCCGAGTGAGAAAGTCACAGGAATGACATACTAAACCAGCTTGAGGTTATGAGGGAGAGAGACAGAACAAGGCCAGGATTTGCATAAAGCAGCTGACAGAGAAAAGTCAAGAAAGGGAGATTGGGCTTTGGCACCTTTATCAAGAGTAAAGTATGTTAAGATGCAAGTCCACATCATTTCAAAAGCCTCCAGTTTTGCTGATCACTAGGAGAGATGCAGTGAAGCTGTGTAAGTGTGCCATAATGTCACCGAGAATTTGTTCGTCTTTTTCCTTCAGATCAGTGTAGCCCAGAAATTCTTTTTCCCTGTGTTGGTGGTGCTCGGGGAGAGCTTCAGCCACTCTCCCATGTCAGGTGATGGCATTGCAGATCTTACGGAAGATGCAAGGTTTTAGAGAGACAGTAATAAATGAGAATTTTGAGTAATTTTCTCTCTATGTATCAGCTATAAACTAAATCTATAACGGTTTCAGCTTCCTGACAGGGTGGGAATGAAATATTGTAGAGGTGAAAGCCACTATGCGCAGATGGGGCTATTACCTCCAGTTCTGTTCTCATGGCCTGACGTAAAGCTACCTAAGTCAACAGGAATCTGGTCACTCACTTGAGCATGCTCTGGATGAAGACATACTTGCTCTGGGAGACTTTCACATGTGGGATTTCACCCAATTTCCAGAAACGCAGGTGAGAAGTGGAGGAACAGATCTTAGCCAGACAACCTGTGTATATCAGTATACCTGAGACAAGACAAGACACACGTCTTAGTTCTTCCTGGAGAGCTGCAAATGCTGTGCAACTCTGATCTGTTTCTGTCACTTCAAGACATCGCCTTCTAACAGAATGGTATATAATATGCTTCTGCACCCTCAGTCGATTTCATCTTGTGCACTGGTGCTAGGGGAAGGGGGTGCTGGATGGGGGCTAGAGTGAAAGACTAAGCTCTTTTTTTCCACTACTGCCATTATCTCACTTTGCAGCAACAGACAAGCATATTCCCTCATCAGCAAAATGTGGCTTATAATAATTCCCTGCCACCATGAGAAGGGAAAAAAGATGGTTGGGGGAAGGCATAGCCCGTTAATATTTCATTGGATAAATCTGATAAAACTGCAGCTATTGGCCCAAAGGCTTAATCTTCTTCGTGTTACCAATTTGGCACACAAAGACTATATTTTCTTTCTTTACCGTCTCCCACTTGGGAAATAAAATCCTAATAACAACAAACCCCTTACCCAAAGGGGGTGAAAAAATTGCAAATAGATTGTAGATGGCCTTATACCTCTTAGATGCTATCAGCCTTAACTAACAGTGGTTGACTTTATTATCTGACAACAGTGAATGATAGCAAATGTGCCTTCTCCTGCTCTCCTTTCAGCTGGGACGGTTCCTTACTCAGCACCTCTAGGACTCTAGCAGTGGAGACACAGGGACAGTGCTAAGTCCTCAAATGATGAGAGATGCATTCAGTCCTGATGCTTGGAGGACATTATGCTAGGATTAGATATCCTGAGTCATCAAGATGGTATGGAGAATGGATGCTCATATGCACCTCAAGCCTGGAATGAAGTCCCTTGGGATCCCAGCCCCTTGGGAGCAGTGAGTGAGTAAGGGGAGAGACAGAAAACAAAACCAGTTAGGGGATTTCATGCCACATCCCTCAAGTGTTGCTATCCTGTCTGACGAACTTTAAACAGTATTATGATGCTGGGGCAGCAGAACTGTTGTACTCTTTCAGTTTCCAAGCCCTGAAAGATTCAATCGGTATCCTACAACACTAGTGATAATGAATAGTCCTAGGAATCTTCTAGTCAGGGTTTGCCTACAACAACGAAACCTGCAGGATTTTCTTTTTTATTGCTTCTTTCTTTCTCTTTTTTTTTTTCTTTTTTTTTTTTTTATTATTCAGCTCACCTCACACCCAAGACTGAAGGAGGACCACAGTCCTCTCACTGCCACTGTGTGACCAGGCGTGATCTGAGCCCAGAACTCAGGGCTGAAGCCCTGCCAGGCTTCCACAGACACTTGGCATCTGGCTCTGTGGAGCCAAATTCAAGAAACACTGGGAGCCGTGGTTGTTCAGGAACTCTGAAAAAAAAAAAAATTACTTACAGTTTCATCATACAACCTTGGAGACCATTTGCAATGGGATTTTTAGTATTTAGGTTCAAAGTGAATAGTTTTTGAGGTGGGTTTGCACATAACAAAGGAGCGGAACGGAGTCATTATTTAATAGCTTTCCAGACTGACTGATTGTCTATATCTCCTTTCCAATTACAGTACAAATTCTTTCCCAAAAATACGTATGTTCAGATCTGGTTGCTTGTTTTAAGTAGACAGAAGAACAAACTTAGCTCTCTTTTAAGAATCAGAAATCTTTTGCAATCTGATCCTGAATTATGCAAACATGTTTTTTATTTTTAAATCTTTACTGAGTAGTCTGCTGAACACTAATTAGTTTACAAACTTCTATGATTCAGATGTTTGCTATTCATTTTCTGCAGTGTCTCAGCGTTCACTTAACTCTTGTAGCATTTTTCCCACTCTGGTTGGATGAGAGGCTTTTTTAAACAAAGGCACAATGAAGGAAAAAATAACAAATAATAAAACTCTTACATGTGCACTCTTGGCCTGGATTATCTAAAAACAGATTTTTTACAAGAATGGCCATGACTCAGATGTTGTTTCTGAACAAAAACCTGCTTATGAAGCTCAGAAAGGTGTGAAGATAATCAAACCAAACAGGAGACCAAACTGAGAATTAGGTTGCTGCAGAATTCAATATCGCAGTGTTCATCTGGTCCTACTGATTAGGGATGCCTGGTAATTGGCAGTTCGGAGACAATACCAGCTATCTGTAAGAACAGTTTGATACCATCTCAGTTTGCAGTCATCCCCTACCCCAGAAGCTATGCCTGAGAGTGCCATCAGCAGTAGGGAATCAAACTTGGCTGAGCCAGTAAAGCATCTGATTCAAAGACATTGATTCGTAATGTTGTTCAACCAGACCTCAGGATCCCGCATGAACTCTTTGCTTCATCTGTCAAAGCCTCACATTTCAAATCCAGTTGCTGTTGATCTTTTAGAGATGCCTCAGCTAAAAACAAAACCAGAAAATCAGCCTGTAATACTGGTAAAACCATGGGCAGGACAAGGAAGACAGACAAGCTGTGAGCTCTGGAGGACAGCGTGAAAACTACCATAATGTGTGAACCTTCAGCGAGTGTCAAATGGCAGTTATTATCGCACATCGCTGCACATTCTTCCTTGGTTCATCATATGTTGCTCACAGTTTTTTGAGTGACCTTGAAATTGCACGCACAAAGTTGTATTAAGCATAGGGTCTGGCCCGTGGCTCAAAGACAACGTCATCTCTGTGAGGGTCAGGGGTAACAGTTTGACGAGGCAAGTAGGTATCCGCTCAGCCTGCACGAAAAGCCATCGCACAGGTCTCTCTTGCCGTGTATGTCAGCCTCAGTCAGGACTTCCCTATGTAGACTTTTCTGGAAGAGCAATAAATGCACGCCCTTATAGCACAGCTCTTTCTTCTTATCGACATCCGTGGAACGGGTGGCCACAGGACCTAACTTCATTGTGGACAAGATACGGGTGTTTTAACCTCTGCTCCACACTTGTGACTTTTTTTTTTCCCGTTCAGATTTGTAATACTCAAATGTTAAATATTTTAGTGCAGATGAGATCATCCATCAGACATTTCTAGGCATC